CTGCGAGAGGGCACAGGCCAGGCTGAGGTACCCCCCTCCCCAAGTGCACAAATTTTTGTGCACCGGGCCTCTAGTAACAATATAATAAACTTAAACATAGCTGCTTCAATAAGTAAATGTAAATTATCTAAACATTCTAATTAAAAGGCAGACACTGCCCAGCCTGCCTGGCTCAGGGTTGAGTGTGGACTTATGAACCAAGAGGTCACGGTTCCATTCCTGGTCAAGGTATATACCTGGGTTGACAGCTCAATTCCCAGTGTGGGATATGCAGGAGGCAGCAGATCAATGATTCTCTCTCATCACTGATGTTTCTATCTCTCTCTCTTCTCTCTCTTCCTCTCTGAAATCAATAAAAGTATATTTTTTAAATCTAATCTAATAATAGACAAAGATTGAAATTGACCATACCTTCGCTACGCCTCCCATTGGCTAATCAGTGAGATATGCAAATTAACCGCCAACAAAGATGGCAGCTAATGTGCATACTGCAGGCAGATCCCGCTGCGCTGCCCCAGCGCGGATCCGGGCCTGCTGTGTCTTGGGCGGGGCGGGCGGGGCGAGCGGCAGCGTGATCTGAGAGGGCACAGGTTGGGCTGAGGGACCCCCCCTTCCCTGCCAGTGCACAAGTTTTGTGCACGGGCCTTCTAGTTAATAAATAAAAGGCAGACATTGTCACATTAACTAAAAAAAAGCAAAACCAAACTATATGTTGTCTATAAGAAACTCTTTAAATATAAATATTTAAAAATAGGTTAAGAATAAAAGGATGTCCCTGGCTGGGTTGGTAGGTTGGTTGGAATGTCGTCCGGTACACCAAAAGGTTACAGGTTCAATTCCCAGTCAGGGCACATACCTAGGTTTTGGGTTTGATCCCAGTCCAGGTGCATATGGGAGGCAACTGATCGATGTTTCTCTCTCTTTCTTTCTCCTCTCTCTCTCAAATCAATATCCTTGGGTGAGGATTTTAAAAAGTAAAAATAAAAATATCAAAGGGTGGAATAAGGTGTAGCATGCTAACACCAGTCAGTCAAAAGAAAGCAGGAGGGAGTATTTTTTTAAAAAATATATGTTTATTGATTTCAGAGAGGAAGGGAGAAGGGGAGAGAGAAACATCAATTTTGAGAGAAAATCATTGATTGGCTGTCTCTTGTGTGCCCCACTCTGGGGATCAAACCCGAAACCCAGGCATGTGCCCTGACTGAGCCACACTAGCCGGGCAGGAGGGAGTATTTTAATATCAAAGTAGATTTCAGAGCAAGAAATAGAGAGGGTATTTCATAATGAGGAAGAGATCAATGAATCAAGAGGACAGAATTATAAACATTTGTGCCCTTGATAATAGTGTCCAATTACAAGCAGCAAAACCTGATAGAACTACAAGGAGAAATAGACAAATCCACAATTCTTATTAGAGATTTCAATAAGTTTCTCTCAATAATTGATAGAACAACTGGACAGCAATCATCATCCAGGACATAGTGGAATGGAACACTATACCCAACAACAGCAGAATATACATTCTTTTCAAGTGCACACAATATTCTGAACCACAAAACAAGTCTTAAAAATTTAAAAGGATTCAAGTCATACAAAGTCTATTACCAGTCTCCAATAGAATTAAATTAAAAATCAATAAAAGAAAGGTATCTGGAAGTCTTCCAAATATCTGGAAACTAAATAGCATACTTCTCAATAATCCACTGACCAAAGAAAAAAATCAAAAGAGAAATTATAAAGTATATTGAATTTAATAAAAGTCAAAACACAACATATCAGAATTTGTGAGATACTGTTAAAGCGGTGCTTGAGGAAATTTACAGCACACAGCACCTATAATAGAGAAGAAGAAGGTCTGAACTCAATGACCTCCTTAAGAAACTAGAAAAATAAAAATAAATCAAACCCAAAGGAAAGGGAAAAAGGAAACAAAGTCAGAACAGAGATCAATAAAATAGAAAGCCAAAGAAATGAGAAAAGTAATGAAGCCAACTGGGTTCTTTGACAGAAGATCAATGTTTATTGAGTGCCACCTATGGGTCAGGTTCTGTTCAGTCGCTGAGGATATGGCAGAAAACAACACACAAAAACCCCAGGTACAATCCCTCACTGGGGCCTTTCCAACATTGTTTTTTTCTTTTGTTCTACCCTTTTACCGGGAATGCCCTCCCCAGATAATCTACTTGTCTCATTATCCTGCTTTATTTTTCCCAAAGAACTTACTATATGCTGGCATTCCATTTTTCTGTCTTTTTCATTTTTGTCATTTTTTGTCTTTCTTTTCTTTTCTCTCTCTTACTTTGTGTCTTTCTGTGCCTTTTTCCTCTCTCCCTCTTTTTTTCTTCCTTTACAAATTTTCTCTTTGAATGTGAGATGTGAAGATTAGTGCTCAGAAGGTGGAATCTTAATCAAAGGTCAAGTAATTATTTCGGAAATCAAGGTTTAATGCTCATATATCAGGAGCGAAGAATCAAAAATCATAAATATTTGTGGAGGTTAGAGGTCAGGAGGTACCTGCCTGAGCTACTAATAAAGGTCTCAGGCTGGGGTCAGGAAGATCAAGTCTAGTTTTGGGATCACTGGAAAGGCATGTGGAATTCTGAGAACCAGTGTTCAAGAAAGGAGGTCAGAAATTATGGGTTAGGATCATTTGGGTAGGAAACTGACTTTATAAAAGACTAGGACTTGTGGGTTAGAGGTCAGGAAGTCAAGCATCAGAAGTCAGATTTAGAAGCGAGGGCAGCCTAAGATTCACTCACGTGTCCCCATCCTCGGTTACGTAGCCAAAGACCAGGGGCGCCCACGACAGCCCCGGGCCCAGCTCCGCGCCCAATCCCGGTCCTCCGGGGGCCGCTGCATCTGGACCCAGAGAGCCCAGGCCACTGTCGCACCACTCGTCGGCATCCGCAGCTTTCCCCAAGCACGCGACCCCGGCCATGGCCCCCCAAGTCTCAGGGGCCCCGTGGCCCCGGGCCAGTCGCTGGGCTCTGCCTGGAGCTCTGGCGCTTCCGCCCTGCAGGGAATTCCCCAACACTCCCCCTGATCCATCCAATCAGAGTAGGCCAAATCGCTCACGCCCCGCCCCCATATCACTCCATGGCCAATCAGAGTTTTCATGTAGACTACGCTCTCTACCGGTTCCCACATTTTCCAGGCGCCCTTTATCAACATGGCTACCTATCAGCGCAGGGCACTTTGGGACTCGTAGTCAGGACCTCGCTTGTTTATTCTTTTTATTATTATTTTTGTTGTTGTTGTTAATTCTTACCCAAGAATACTTTTCCATTGATTTTTAGAGAGAATGAAAGAGAGAGGGAAAGAGAGAGAGAGAGCGATGTGAGAGAAACACATTGATTGGCTGCCTCCTGCACACGGCCTGGCCGGGGGAACTGCCCTTGACCGAAATAGAACCTGGGACCCTTCGGTCTGCAGGCCCAGGCTCTATCCACCGAACCAAACCGGCTAGGGCTCGTTTGTTTATTCTTACCGAAAAGGGCGCGCCGGAAGTTGTGAGAAAACCTGTATGCGGCCTCGCTGGCTGCTGGGAGTTGTAGTCCTCTGTCCTATCTCTGACACTACTGTTTCCGGTGCCGTCACGGGCCGAGCAGTCGGTGACAGCCCCGAGGGCCCCCGCCCACGCTCATGGCCGAGCCGGACCGTGAGTCGGGGCCTTGGTGGGAGGGTCGGGCAGGGCCGCTCCGGGGCCTGCCTGAGATCTGCAGGCCCCGGGGCCGAGGGCGGGCGAGGTGGGGCAGGAGATAGGGGCTGTGTGGGGAGGAGTGGGGTTCTGGGGGCCGTTGCTAAGTTATCCCTATGGCTAGGTTGGTGGGTTTCTGGGTCGCGAGCTTTTAAGGGTCCGTTTGCTTTGTCTTCCAAGTTTAGCAAAGAGGGACCTTGGTTGCCAAGGACCCTCTTTGCTAAAGACTTAGGTTGTTGCTGTCCCGGTTGCTAAGGGTACCTGGTTGTTAGGGGGAACTGTAAGATGCTAGGGGACCCCTGGTGTTCCCTCCTATCTCTTCCCTCTAGTTCCTGTGCCCCTCCTAAACAAACCATCCCCACCGCACCTCCTCTCACTTCCAGTCCGAGTATCTCTTACCTTTTCTCTTCCTTTCTAAACTTACCACTGTCTGTAAACCTAACCCTCCCCGAGCGCGCGCGCGCGAGCACACACACACACTATTATGTCCGTCCTGATTCCTCCTGGTGTCCTCCATGCTCTGAATCCTTTACTTTCTCCTCCCTCTACTAAGCCTTCATGTCTCAGCCCCTTTGTCCCTCACTAACCACCTCTCCTCCCAGCACTCTCCACTCTGCTTTTCCCCACCCTCTCCCTCTCTCTACTGCATTTTTACCTCCACCCCCATACACCAGTATAACTAGTTTGGTGGGTCTTCTTGCCCCGGCCCCCTGCTTGAAGCCCTTCATAACTCCTTAACCATTCCCCCCACTGTAACCACATCTGCTCCCCCTCCTCCCCCAGCCTCTGACCCTCTGGAGACCCAGGCAGGGAAGGTGCAGGAGGCTCAGGTGAGATGGGGAAAGGGTGGAGGGAAGGAGAGAGATGGACTTGTTCCCACACCCCACTCCCCGGGGGGTGGGGGGGACAGAAGGAGAGTTACCCCAGGGCCCTCAGCTCACAGCCCCAGTCCCTCGCCCCCACCTCCCAGTTCAGCTTCCTGGGGAATAGTGGATTCTGAGGGCTATCGGAGTGTGCAGCCTCAACCCCAAGCCTGCCCTCCTGAACTTTTCTCTTTCCTTGCTCCCCACCCTCCAGTCCCTTCTGAACCTCATTTATGCTGCTCCTGGAAGAGACAGGCATCCAACTTGGTCCCTGAACTCATGGATCTCATGGACAAGTGACTAGAAAATGACCCTACAGGGTGATTATGAAAATAGCTCAGGGCACTGTGGGAGCCCAGAGGAAACTTTGTGGGGTCACAGATATTCCAGTCAGTCCCTTCTCTGGAGGAATCCACAGGCTGGTCTAGGAGTCAGATTGAGGTAGACACATTTGCAGTACGTGACGAGTGACTGAATTTTCTTAGGCAAGGTGAGAAATGGTGTTCCACACAGAGGGTGCAGCTAGTGCAGAGACCTGGGAGCCTGGAAGAGTGTTATACGTTTAGTAGGTGGTGACTGGGGTATGCATGGCTGACATTTATTGAATACTTCAGCGGGGCACTCTGCTTAGTGCTTTATGGGCATCATCTCATTTCATCTTCCCAGCATTCCTGTGGGAGTCAAGGCCTATTGTGGCCATTTTACAGAAGAGGAATTTGAGGCATAGTTGTTAAGTATCCTGTCCTCTGTCTCTCAGCCAGAAGAGCTGGGAAGGGTTTGCAAGCCACAGCACACTCACATTGCCTTCCAGATGCTTCGGTGAGAGCTAGACACAGAGGCCTGAAAGCCCTGAGAACACCTCTAGGTCCCACATGCTGGGCAGGGCCCTTGAGTCCTTCCACGGAGCCTCACTGTCTGCAGCCTGAAAGAATGCCAGACTCCCACCCCCACCCCCAGCAGCTAAATTGCTGCAAGTTGTAGGCAATGCAGGAGCTGTGATTAGAGCACCTCACAGGCGCCCGGCAGAGGAAACACAAGCGCTTCCTGTCAGGCCACGGCTTCTCCCTCGCCTGGCTCCCAAAGTAGGGCCATTGTCAGAGAAAGGGGTTTAATGTTAAAAAGGATCCTCAGTCTCAAAGAGAGAGACTCGAGGGCTTAAATTACAGCATTGTCCATAATGGGGCAAAACTGGAAACAGCCCAAGTGGCTGTCAGTAGACAGGTTAAGTGAACTATGGGGCCTCCTTACAATGCAACACTATGCAGCTGCTTAAAAGAATGAGGTGGGTCTATAGTATCTTGTTCTGCAGAAGATGCAGGGTGCAGCATTGTGCTATGATATGACCACGCTCTGAGAAAATGATGAGTTTCATATTCAGAGTGATAGGGGAAAGGGGTTTTAAGCAGGAGAGTGAGTTGGTCAGAATTGTTTTTACTAGTGCCACTGCAGGGCCCAGCCCTGGTCTAGCACACAGGTATTTCTCCATTCAGTGGTGGATAGTGCCGGAGCTCCTACCGGGTGCCAGATCCTATTCTCGGTGCTAGACATCCAGTAGTGAACATGAAAAACCCCTGCCTTGTGGAGCTGACATCATGGTGGACCTTGTAGATGTTGTTGATGAGATTATTAGACTGGAGACACCAAAGAGAAGGGCTTGTGAAGTGGAGGGGAGTGGGCCAGCCCAGACAGGCCATCACACGGAGGGTAGAGGGTAGATCAGAGGTGGAGACTGAGGCTGGGAGTCTAGGTAGGAGGCTGGGACAGAGCCCCCAAGGGAAGAGGACAGGCTGGACCAGGTGGAGCACTGAAGAGGGGACACATTATGGCAGGAGGGCAGGGGAGGAAGGCTGGATGCATCTGGCAAACTGGGAGATGGAGGCCACACTGAGATGGGGCCCAGGAGGAGGAGCAGGTTTGGGAAAGATGCTGAGGCCAGTGTGGGACACGGTGGGAGTGAGGAGCCTTGGGTCCCTTAAAGGCAGGCATCCAGGAGGCCATGGGAACCTTGGATCAGAGAGGTGGCATCATCAGTGACTGGACCAAGGCCATTGGCATGGATGAGGCAGGTATCCCAGGGAAGGTGAAGGGAGAAAGCAGGCAGGGCCCAGGATCTGCAATTTGGGAGCCTGGCTAAGGGGAGGGGTCGATAAGGAAATGGAGGGTTGGAAAGGCAGTAACTGGGGTTTTCATCAGGAGGGCTGATGACCAGAGGGTGAGGACTGAAGTGTTTTCACTGGCATTATTACATTATTATGGAGTGACTTTGGTGAGGAGGGCTGGGAGGGGGCGGCAGGTGCATGCTACAGGGGACAAGAAGGGATGCAAGGGGAGAATGTGGATTTGGCACATGAAATAGCAATAGTCAGAGCTTCCTGAGCACTTACCCCACTGGGTGCTGTCTAAGCCCCTCACATAGATGAACTCATTTCATCTCACAATAGCCCACTGAGGTAGCTGCCCTCTGACATCCGTCTCCAAGATGAGGAGCTCTGAGACTCAGAAAAGCAAAGTCACCCATATGAGATTACAGTCCTTGGGAGAGGCAGGCCGTGTCCCCAACGCAGGCACCCTGACCCAGAGCCCACACACTGGCCCCCAGAGCTGTCCCTCCACCACGGCCCCTCACTTCCTTGGGCCCACATCCCAGCCCAGAGCCTTTCCCAAAACCGGGGTGTCACCCCACCCCCCACTTCCTAATCCCACTTCTTGGACCTGGCTACCTTACCCCCACCCCTTTCAGGACTCAGATTCAGACACTGAGGAAGGAGCAGCTGGTGGAGAAGCAGAGAGTGAGTATCTTCCTTAGGAGCCTCATTCTGCGGGGGCTGAGGTGGGGGCGGTTTAGGGCAGGGTCTGGGTGATACCCCTCACCTCCATCAGGGATGACATTCAGGTATGTAATAATGGGTGCAGTGCCAATGCCTGGCGCCCCCCGGCTGGATCCAGCATGGACCCTTGAGTTGTGGGAAGGCAGGGGATCCCTGGGCTGGGGCAGGGTTGCTCTGAGCCTCTGTGCACCCAGGCTGAGTGCCCACTACTGTCTCTCTTCTTTTTGGCCAGTGGACTTCCTACGAAATTTATTCTCCCAGACGTTGGGCCTGGGCACCCAGAAGGAGCGTTTGCTGGACAACCTAACCCTGGAAGGGGTGGCCCACTACATGCTGAGTGAGCGCTGTAAGTCCTTCCCCACCTGCACTGGGCCACTCCCCCGTCCTGGCCCCAAGCGATTTCTCAGCCCCCGGCTACTTGAACTATTCACAACTGTTGTCTGCAAGTAACAAGAAACCCAATTCAAACTGGTTTATACCAAAAAAGGAGTCTGTTCAACTCTTAACTAAAATCCAGCCTGAAGCATGGCCTGGTTCAGGGGCTTCCATGTTGTCAAACATCGTAACCCTCTCTGGCGCTGGTTTCTTCTGTGTTGGGGTGAAGGTAGCTCCTGGCAGCTCCAAATGCAAGTTCCACCAGCCTCGCAGCT